CTGATTTAGTGATGTAGATGCAGGCAAAGAACTTGTAAATTTTGAGTATGAGAAATGGCCGCTATGGTGATGATGTGGCTGCACTGACTGGACTGTGAAAAATTATTGTACAGCTATAATGACTGTTTTTACTCATAAATCTTTCCATAATATCTGTGTACCAAAAACTTAAAATGGTTAAAATTTTGTTAAACATAGCATACACTTTTCTGCATAACAGGCACATGTGTAGCGCACTGCATTGGGCAACTTTGCTACATGCGTATCGAAGAGCTAAAAAGCCATACACTCTGAAGAAAAGGGTTAAATCTACTAGTCATAGACTAGAAACAAGTTTGTTATTGCTACATCTCCTAAGCAATATACAGATTGCCATGAAACTCTACAAACTCTTTCATCCCAAGGTCTAACAGGGCTTGCATGAAAAGGATGCTGCTCAGATATTCATTGTGTCCTCAAGAGCAGCCATCTTAATGCTATCTGGAATGGATATCAGCATGGGTTTTTCACTAAAATTTGGTGCCATGCTGACATCAAGTATGACTGCAGTGACAACCATCTTTAAAGTCTTAGCACTGCTCCTCCTGAACAGAAACTTATATTGACATGTGTTTTCACCAGAAGGGTTCTTGTGATTATAGGTGAATCTTAATAAAAAATGTTATGTTTGGACATCCAACATGGCTGCCAGAAATGCTATCTAGAAAATATTGTTATAGCTTACTCCTGAATGCTTGGTTGTACCAGAATGGAATGTTCAGTAAAAGACTTCTTGATGTCTAGTTGGTACTAAACAACTAATTAAAAATGGTGTCAATATTACATCCAGTATGGCCACTATGACAGCCATCTTGAAAATCGTATTGCTACTCATCCTAAATAGAAAGTAGTGCTATGATATCTAGTTGACCCTGAATAAAAATGGTGCTAATCTGACCCTTTAGTATGGCTTCCACAATGAACATATTGAAAATCTTGTCACTAATTCTCCCAAATGGACCATCATATAGAATAACCAGTCTTGAAAGACCACTTCTTCTGCCAAAAAATATTGGTCTACATGTTTCATGACAGGCCATAATGCTACATAATCAGCAAATCTGTGCATGGAGAACCAGGTCAGTGCCGATAAGTGGTGTCTTAAGACAGGTTTTACTATATCAAGGTGTGGTTTTCACTAAAGGTATTGTAATGGTGTCTAATTTATCCAGTATGGCTGCTACAGTGGCTAATTTGAAAACTGTATTATTTAGGAGATCAGAAATGATTTCAAAACTTGGCAGTAAAAAAGAAGAAACTATTTCATCTTGAATTTTTGGACCTTTTTTAAGACTAAAGCACCTGTCCACTTGATGGACTTGTGTTTAATCATTGTAGTTGTTAGTTAGTTTATTTGTTTTAAGAATATATAGTTCTATGTGAAAAATAAGCAGTATGCACTTTTATTGTGCCATTATGTAATGGGAAGTGTGCCCATCTGTCCATCATTTTGTGTGTAATCATTTTTGTTTTCAGAAAAAAACACTTGACCGATATTTAAACCAAAGTTGGTACACCTGACCAAGTGTTTTAGGGGCTCCTTTTTCCTTCAAGTACTTAAATTTTCTACAAGTCACTTTTTAGTTTCTTGAGCAGAACTCCAAACAACTCAGTATATCATTGTGACATTGGGTATGAGTTTAAATATTTTATTGTTTTCCATTTATCATTTACTCTTTTGGTTCCATAACACAAGTAAAACCACTCAAAAATATTGTAATGAAATTTGATACCTATAGTTCATCAGTGATTGATATGTGCTCTTTGCAGTTCATAGCTCTACACTTTCTGAACCCAACTTATTGGGAAGTGAAACCTTGTAGTCACTTTTCCAACATCAGTGTCAAAAGTATAGGTTTTGGTTGAAATTTTTTGTTTGCATATATTTCCTAATCTCTTTGAAAATTTTATCGTTCTTGACATAAGTCATTAAAATTACTTATTTTATTATGTACTCATTTGCTTGTTTTACCTGTTAGTCAGGGTTATAGACATTGAAAATTCATCACAGATTTGGTTTAAAACATTACATTCGTCTTTATTTTTCATGAATTCATGATGGACTGTCCCAATACTTGGCTTGCTATATTATGAATATGACACCTGACCATGAGGTCAAGGTTAGAGTCAGAAAATTTATGTTTAGGGTTTTGTTAAAGGTTGTATTTCCTAAACCCCTTAATGAATTTTTTCATACTTTTGATTTATCACTATGAATCTAAGACTGTTCATTCTGCCACATGTTTGCATGTCCATTTGAATTTGAAGATGAGTGATTGCTGTTTAAGAACATTTATTTTCAGCTTTAAGCTTTAAATTTATGGAACTTAATTATGTTTTGTATTTTTTTTTTCAGCCTGGCTGATGATTTAAATAGTGTCAGGGAGTTAGGGACACTTAAGAAAAAATATTGGAGTCCTGGTGGGACAGTTCTAGATCTAAATTCCAGTTATAGTGAATTACCCTATATGCAGTTGATCTAAACCGTGAATGAAGACATAATAGGGAATGATTATTCACTGAAAAGAGAGGAAGAGGCAAAACACTTAATAAATTAGCTATAGAAAGATAAGACAATCCCAAGTAAAGCAATGTTGAAGAGGAGGTTTATTTGCAATGTTATCCAACATTACCTAAGTATGTGTAATGATCCCATATGATATTGCTCTGTTGCATTGCATGCACTGTATTTATACATATCCTCTCAGTAATCCATCCAGTGAGACAAATCATGTTTTGAAGAGACAAAAAGAAATATTGTATTTTGATGATTTCTTACAAGTTTTAATTTCTTCTATTACACACAAAGTCCTATGAAAGATTATTTAAATTTGTTGCTTATAAATTGTTATTAATAAATGTGATTCTCAAAATGCTTGGATATGCTAACCTGTGCATGTATTTAATTCAGATTTTCCTGATTATGGTATGGAATTTTGAGCTGTACATGCTGCCCATTACACTGCTGATAATCTTCCTCCGGAATCTCTTCGTAGCATCTGTTCTTGGAGCTTTCTCAAAGGAACCTGTAGAAGATGTGAGTGGCCCAATCCCTTAATATTATTTATTTATATATATTTGTTTAATTTTTATTTATTTAATAACAATCCCTAGTTGGGAAGTTATTGGTATATGGGATTCACATTGTTTATTGGTCAATTTATTTATTTGCCCAGCATCCTTGTCTATGCTGCATCTCATTTTGCAGACTATTGATGTTCAACTTGCAATGTATCCCAACATGAAGTTGCTTCGTACAACAAATCCAAATGTAGAAAGTCTGAAATGACACTATCTATTGCCAATATGTAATAAAAAATATGGGGCTTGGCAATGGCAAGAAATTGAAGTTACTCTATTAAGACAATGATCTCTATCTGCTTGCCAGTATCCTCTTTTTTGGACTTTATTTCACCTACACACATAAAATTTGGTATGTGCTAGGATTCCAAGGACAAGAGGGCACCGTCTTCCATCCTCCAGATCTGAAGGATACATAACATTTCAAAGGGAGAAGGAAAATGGAAGTACTTAATGCAATAATAGTGTTATTTGCTTTGACAGTTTACCATCTTATCTTTGCTGCTGCACTGTGCTATCTGATCTTGGACACTTGAATCAGCATAATAAACATTTTATTATGTGCGCAAGTAACTCATTAAAACATTATCCAGTTCAACTAAAATGAGCTACACCATTGAATTGTGCTGTTCTGATCATGATTTTGATTAACTTTTGTATTCATTAATTATTTACAAGCATTTATTATAATAAATACCCAAGTTTTCTGAATTATTTTTCTTATCAAATTTATCATTCCTAGATTAAATGGGAAATTTTGTAACTGCATATATTTAGTCTCATTTTTCATTTAATCAGCATCAAAATAAATTAAATCAGTAGCGTAAAGGAATGAGAAATTTAATTTGATAAACATTTCAAGTTATAAATTTGATTTTATCCAGAAGGGCTTTGGGCTTGCAATCATACACACACACACGATGCTTGCGTTCTGATTTTTATTTTAAAGGTTAGAAGGTATGTAAGTGCCTTACCAACCCAAGGAAACCATGCTGCAAACCAGGCTGGCCAAAAGGGAACAAACTGCACATTGAAGGAGGGTGACTCAACCATGCCAAAATCAAACCACTGACCCCATTTTCAAGCTTGAATTACTTTTGTCTTTTTAGCAGAACCTTATTACACTAATGCTCATGAACATTGGTTTGGGGATGCGTCTCAAGGAGACTAATTCAGCCATCCAAAAACTAGGTCACCATGACCCAATTTATAAGCTTAACTGACTTCTTTCTTTGTAGCTCTTTAAGTTATTCTAAACATCTTTGATCCTATTTTACCTTTGTTCATGAAAATGTGTAGATGTATTTCAAAATGACTAAGTTCACCATTCCAAACCAAGGTCATTGTGCTCCATTGTGTGTTGTTCTGCTTGATTGTTTTTAGTCAGCTTATTCCAGGTGTTTTTGTGCATTTACACCACCACAATGGTATCCTAAATGATATAATAGAATGAACAATTTGTTTTTAGCTAGTTTGTTGTGTTCTTTTATGAATTTCCATCATTATGGATTTAAGTTGTTATTTTAAGTTGAATACATTACCACATCATCATGATCAATCTTTAAGATATGTTTATGTGTCAGGTATGGCCATATCTGGGTAATAAGGCAAAGGAAATAAGTTTGCAGTATGGATTCATCAGCTTTACTTATTGTTTAATGCAGTTTCAGCACCAAGGATAAGTCGTATATCAATGTCTTGGTTATAGATAACATCATTATTATGAACATTGTGAGTTCTAGTTATATATGTTATATTCAAAATACCTAAAAAAGGATTATTTTATATATTTACCAGTCAAATTTAAAGGAGATAAAGCATCTAGTCTTTCATTTATGTGTTAAATGGTGGTTTGTTTTTGGTTTTTTTTGTTCATAACTGCTCTGGTGGCCTAGTGGTTAGAGCATCCGCACCAGATGCGGGAGGTCGTGGGTTCGAACCCCAGCCGAGTCCTACCAAAGACTTCTAAAATTGTAATAACAACTGCCTTACTAGGCGCTCAGCATTCAGAGGTTAGTGTTAGGACTGGTCGGCCTGGTGTCAGGATAATGTGACTGAGTGGGACATCATGCTACATGTCTACAGCATGATGCCTTAGTGCTAGACATCACATTAAACTGTCACACTTCAGACATAGTAGCAGTATTTCTGAAAATGTTTTAAAGCTGCATTAAAAATCTAAATCACACACTCATTTGTTCATACAGTCATTTGTTCCATCATTAGATACTCATTTTATTGGAGTCTATTCAACCTACACTCATCAAAATTGGTATATGGATGTATCTTGGACTTTAAAATGTATGTTTTCCAGCTTGACAATAGCAGTACCTGATATTTTGTTATACCTTACTGAAAACCCATCCAACTTATAGAAAAATAATCAGCGGCCTTAATGAGATGGTTTTGTAAGGGTTGGTAGGTCTTCTGATCTTGTGAAATATAGAGACAGTGAAAATGTCTGATTATTATATATTTCAGAATTATGTTGATGAAGAAGATGATGATGAAGATGATGAAAGGGATAAGGTAATGCCTAAATCTACAGTCAAAAAGCATGCAATTTTTTTAAAGTGCTTTAAAGATCAGTATTTTTGAAGGTTTCTGAAAGTAATTATCGACTAATTTTTTAACTTAAGTAAGGGCTGTTCCAGTAAAACATATATCCCCCAGGGACGGCACTTGAATAAAACTTATGTAAGAGGTTGTGTTTCAAACTATTTTGATTCTGACAGTAGAAGGTTGATTAGGAAAATCACTTTTGTTGTGGGTTGTGTTAACAAAATGAGAAATCGCTGGTGGGGTTGTCAGAAAAAAAAACAACGAATATATATTTAAAATCACATCTAACCCCGTTCTAGTGGTCTAACATGAATAAAAATGTGGTTCGGAAAATGACCCCAGGACACGCGAGTGCAGCTAATTTGTAGTCAATTGCGTACTTTTAAAGCAGTAATACGCGTTCTGCAAATTATGTCAACGTTGTGGATATAAAACATGCTTTGCACAGTATGCAATTTTTATTCAACTTTTAACTTTAAAAGTGCATTTCATGACATAATTCACAATGCAAGTAACAGTTTAGCAGTGCTTGATGCGACTTTCAGATTCAGAAAGGCAAATGTTAAAATAGCTGGATACTTCGGTTCGACATGAAAATTCTGTTAAACTAAATTTGATTTGTTCATTGGCTCTGGAACAAGCATTTATGGAAGTTTTAACCTTACTTTCATCATGTTAGTTTAAATGCATGTTTCAAATAAGGACCACACAGGAAACCAAAACTGCTGAATCACAACAGGGTTTGTCATCAGACGACGTTTTCAGTCGGCACATACTGGCTGGTGATAGCTATGACGACAATAAATTTCATGTCTGTTGGACATTCAGAAAATGTCACGAGAAGTACCAGTGTGTAATTTTGAGCACAAAATTGATGTTGAGTGCGAGTCCAAAGAACATGTTGAATGGATAGGATGCTGGTTATATTTATTCAAGATACTCTTGTCTGAACAAGCAGACTATGGGAATGTTGGACCGAAAACCCTAATACAGCATTATGGAAGAGAAAACACCTGGCATAAGAGGCAGAAAAGCACTGATTCATGGAAGGAAGTGAATCTTTGGCAGATTTCATAGTAGTGTAAACCTTTCCTTTTGGAACAGAGATATCGAAGAGAATACCCATGACCATACATGTATATGAGATGTTGAAAATTGCACAACCATAAAGAACAGTAACTTGTTAAGGCTAGTTAAGCAAATGCATTTCAGACAGCAGACAGTGAAATGGAGTTCTCAGCACAAAATAATATTCGTACACAGAGGAGGAGAATCATATTCAAAACCAATCAATATGTTAATGCTAATAGGGAACATTAAAGAACCCCCATACAATATAATTATGTGTAGATCTCTAGTTGACAGAAACACTATGGCAACAAAAGAATAATGAGACTAACTTTCATATTATTCAGATGTATTACCAAATGTAGTACATGCTCTCTATGTGCAAAATTGAAATGACATTAAGCATAGGAAACTGACTGAACTGTGTAAACTCAAAGTGAGATGGATAAAATTTGTCCTGTTTGTGTTTGGTTATTTCTATGTATATTTTGAGGATGATATTTTCTGCAGACCTTTTAGCACTTAGTTCCAAGCCATCATTTGGTATTTGTATTACAAATTGGATTACTTTTATCTAGTACACAACATTTTGAAGCTGTGTCATTAACTAATGATGAAATAGATGAACAAATGCTTGATGTCATTCTGATATATGAATTCTTTACTACACTAAAAATCTGTTCAGCCTGATTCTTTTTTACGATCTCCTTTAGTATTACTGGTACCAATACTTTTAATAAAATTGTAACTTCTCTTTTCTTACAATCTAAATATTTGTGATCATGTAATCAATATTAATAAAAGTAAAATGGGCATAGTTTTGTTGTAAAATTTTAAAACTATTAAATAGCAAAATTAGTAAAAAGTGGGTCAACTTCATGTGTGCAGAAATTATTGCCATATTACAGAGTGTTGTTATAAACAACAGAATAGTTGTACAAGATGTATTTTGCAAAGTTGTAGAACCATCACTCATATTGTAACCACATTTTCTTCATAAATAATACTATCATTATTTCTGTGTATTCATACCGGTTTTTCCTAAGTAGTATAAATTTCCTGATCTAATGTTGTTTGTTTCTTGTACAATTTTTACACATCAAGAATTCTCAGTGTCATTAAAAAACAATGTAATCTGCACCAAATTGAGATCTTTGGGAAGAAATTAATTTTTTAACTCTAAAATCACTGAACCAATGAGTTCTGGCAATAAACATTAATTAACATTTAATGTAGCCATGATAGTAATTTAGGGTGCAACTGTTGTAATTACACCTTTTGTTTATTCAGATCTTGAATGTGAACATGGCTCCAAAATAAATACATCAATTTTAGAACCTATTCATTGACTATAAATCAAGAATATAATCCAACTCCAACTGAATTGTTAGAAAAATTTTAATTCTTTTGACAACATTGCAATTAGCTTTAACATACAGAGTAAGTCTATGGTCTTTCTGCCATCCTAACCAAGACCTCACCACAACCATGTGATTATGCCCAATGACATCACAGAAATAATTGCTATACAACTAGAGGTGACATCACTTTGAGTATTTTGATTTCAGTAGAACCTTAGCAGAGTGGAACAGTTAAAAAATAGTGACAGATATTTAAGTGTTAGAGAGATATTTAACAATGGCTATTTCTCCTGCCACCACTTCCTCATTGGAGATCACACACACAGACACACACACAACTTTGATTAAATCCTGAAATCCTGACAGCATCCCTGCAGTGTAGATAACTTGACCATTTTATTTTATTTTATTGGTCTTTGGTTATCCCATGGTATTTCTATTACTTGATCATTATCTTACAGTGTGTCCTTTCAGCATGGTTGAAAAGGACATATAACTATTGAGACTTGTTGAAGGAATAGCACTGAAAGAACAAGATCTATACTATAAATCAGTGAAGTTAAAATAGAGTATACATAGTTTGATTTTCCCTGACTGGTTGATAATGAAAGTAAGATTTCAGTGTAAAGAATCTTTTGAGATCTTGTTCTGCATTTAACAGATAAAAGTCCGGTACATTCTTTTATTAACATAATTTATGTCACTTTACAGACCTGAGTTTGGAAGACTCATTAATGAAATCAGGAGCTAACTATTCAGTGTAGTATTGAAAGCACACATTTCAAATTTGTGTCAATCCAGAAAATGGCGAAGCTGTTTGCACAAAAGCTGTCTTCATACATGTGTCTAAACTAATACAAATGTGATCATGAGCACTTAAAATTTTAAGTTCTTGAATTTTAATATCATGGTGTTTGCACAGGTTTACAATGGGAACTGAATTAGTACAGCGAGTCTTGAACTTTGAGTTTTGTGCAGAAACATGGAATTTAGTCAGAATAGATCCACAACTGTAGATGTTTTCTATCTTGGATTTAGACTGCATTTCACATTGATATGCATATTCACAAACAGTATAGTAGTAGGAAAAGTAAGTGACAAATTTAGATACATATCATACACAAGACAAACAGTATGTGGAGGGACAAGATCATAAGAACAGGCTGGAATGGAAAAGCATAATAACAGCAATGAGTAGAAATGTGCCTCTTAATTGATGTGTGAAACATTATTTTCTCAGCTTCAGTAAGAATTTACATGAAAGGAAAGACAATAAAGAGTACAGTTAATTTAGGTACTCAAATTGATTTTAACCTTCTGGTTATATTTGTTCTGGTATGTTTCTGTCATTAATGTTATTATTTCCAATGAATCAGTATGATTGGAAAAAAATTAGCAAATTTAAAGATTGAAAATTCTTTTGGCAGATTATGATTATACACTGTACTTTTGCCTGAGAGATGTGAATAATTTCATTTCTTGGTTTTTTGATTCTGGTTGTGGCACAGTTCAAATGCATCATTGAAAAAAACTGATGCATTCTCATACTTTTGTTACAAATATTTATTACAGATATACATCTCCAGATAAAGGTGAATATAACTTAAATAAGTTATAACAGTTCTGGCTGGAACAATGGATATTGTCATAGAAACCTTTAGTGAGCTAAAATGTAAACTTTTTGGCAGCATGTGATGCAGGATTGCTCAAGACTTCTCCATCTTGTATGTTTACCATGAAAAATCCATTTGTGCCAACTAATGATGACTTTTAGGTAACTGTCAGAAAGGCATAATTGACAATATTCAAAGGTCTACAAAAATTACTAGAATCAAAATGTATAAACTCATATAGTTGTAGCAAAAATGATGGACTAGTATCTTTACTGCTGTTACCACAGTTGATTAATTGGTTGATATGTTTGGTTTGTTTTTAGAGGGTGGGGTGTTAACAGTATATTAGA